AAAACTGAGAACGCCACACACCCCAGGGACACAGGCGTGCTTAAGGGCATTAATCAGAACAGCGGTGACTGCACTTCCCACCCCCGACCATGAAGCTAAGAAACTCCAAATGACAACAGCAAAATACCGCTGGGCGAGGGTTGGGAGAGGAATGAGAATGTGCAAAGAGAACCGGTTTGAGGCACAACTCAAAGGGAACACCTGAAACTCAGGATCCAACAGCCATTGCTCTGAGGTACATCAACCACCTTAGAAACAAGTATCTGAAGGGATTGGAAACCCGTGATGCACTGCGTATAACCGTAGCAGCAACGGCAGCAACAAGTCACAAAACTAGTCCAATTGCTAACTGGATTGATGGAAAGCCTTCCTTTACAATTCTAGCAGAAGGAAAGGCATGCCCATATCCAGGTATAAAAACTATTTACCTCAGTTCCAATGACCTACCCAATATATTTGGCTGTAACAAAAAATCATGAGACAGACAAACAGGCAAGAAAAATATCGGCACATTCTCAAGTGACAGAGTAATCATCAGGAAAGACAAAGTCAGTGGTTAGGACAGTATAGCACTGGCACAGAAACAGACACGTAAACCAAAGGAACAAAGCAGAGAGCCCAATGCATTAACACCTACGTGGTCAATAAATTCAGAGGCAAGAATATACAGTGGGGAAAAGACAGCCACTTCAATACATGGTGTTGGGAAAACTTGACAGCTACATGCAAAAGGATGAAACTGGACTATTTTCTCACACCATAGACAAAAATAAACTCAAAATGGGTTAAAGACTTAAATGTGAGACCTGAAACCATAACACTCCTAGAAGAAAACATAGGCAGTATGACCTTTGACATCAGTCTTAGCAATATTTTGGGGGATAAGTCTCTTCAGGCAAGGGAAACAAAAGCAAGAATAAACAAATGGGACTATGTCAAACTAAAAAGTTTTTTTGCACAGCAAAAGAAACTATCAACAAAGGAAAAGGTCACCTACTGAATGGGAGAAGATGTTTGCAAATGATGTATCCGTTAGGGGGTAAATATCCCAAATATGCAAAGGACTCACACAACTCAAAGTAAAGAAAAACAAACAATCCAATTAAAAAATGGACAGAGGACCTGAATAGACATTTTCCCAAATAAGACATACAGATGCCCAACAGACACATGAAAAGATGCTCAACATCAATAATCATCAGGGAGGGCTTCCCTGGTGGCGCAGTGGTTGAGAGTCCGCCTGCCGATGCAGGGGACACGGGTTCGTGTCCCGGTCCGGGAAGATCCCACATGCCGCCGAGCGGCTGGGCCCGTGAGCCACGGCCGCTGAGCCTGCGCATCCGGAGCCTGTGCTCCGCAACGGGAGAGGCCACAACAGTGAGAGGCCCGTGTACCGCAAAAAATAAAAATAAAAAAATAATCATCAGGGAAATGCAAATCAAAACCTCAATGAGGTATCACTTCACACCAGTCTAGCATCAACATATATACACTACTGAATGTAAAATAGTTGGCTGGTGGGAAGCAGCAACATAGCACGGGGAGATCAGCTCCGTGCTTTGCGATGACCTAGAGGGGTGAGATAGGGAGGGTGGGAGGGAGGCTCAAGAGGGAGGGGATATGGGGATATATGTATGCATAAGGCTGATTCACTTTATTGTACAACAGAAACTAACACAGTATTGTGAAGCAATTATACTCCAATAAAGATCTATTAAAATAAAAAAAATAGTTGATCTAAGGAAAAAAAAACAAAAAACAACAAGTGTTGAGGATGTGGAGAAAAGGGAATCCTTGTGCACTGCTGGTGGGAATGCAAGTTGGTGCAGCCATTATGCAAAGAAGTATGCCGGTGCCTCAAAAAATTAAAAATGGGACTACCATACAATTCAGCAATCCCACTTCTGGATATTTTTCTGAAGAAAACAAAAACACTAAGTTGAAAAGATACATGTACCCATATGTTTATTGCAGCAGTGTTTACAATAGCCAAGATATGGAAGCAACCTAACTGCTATCAGTAGATGAATGGATCAAGGGGATGCGGTATATATACAGTTGAATATTATTCAGCTATAAAGAAGAATGAAATCATACCATTTGTGACAACACGGATGGACCTAGAGGATAATATTCTAAGTGAAATAAGACAGAGAAAGACAAATGCCATATGATTTCACTTATATATGTTATCTAAAAAACAAAACAAATGAGCAAACATAACAAAACAAAAGCAGAGTCAGATTCAGAGAACAAACAGGTGGTTGCCAGAGGGAGGAGGATTTGGGGAAGTATGGGGATGAATGAAATAGGTGAGGGGAATTAAGAGGTACAAATTTCCAGTTACAAAATGAATGAGTCACAGGGATGAAATGTACAGCATGGGGAATATAGTCACTAATAATGTAATATCTTTGTATGGTGATAGGTGGTAACTAGACTTATGGTGGTCATTTTGTAATGTATAGAAATATCAAATCACTATGTTGTACACCTGGAGCTAATATCATGTTGTAGGTCAACTATACTTCAAAACAAACTCAGAAATTCATAGGAAATGATTTGTGGCTACCAGACACCAGGGTGGGGGTGGGTAGAGGGAGGGGGAATTGGACGAATGTGGTCAAAAGGTGCAAACTTGCAGTTATAAAATAAATAAGTACTAGGGATGTCATGTACAACATGATTAACATAATTAACACTGCCATATATTACGCATGAAAGTTGTTAAGAGTAACTCCTAAGAGTTCTCATCACAAGAAAAAATATCTTTTTCCTTTATTTTGTATCTATATGAGATGATGCATGTTCACTAAACGTATTGTGATAATCATTTCATGATGTATAAGTCAAATCATTATGCTTTGCACCCTAAACTTATACAGTGCTGTATGTTGATTGTATCTCAAGAAAACTAGAAGAAAAAAAAGACTGTGTGGTACTGGTGAAAAGATAGACTTACAGATAAATGGAACAGAATAGAGAGTCCAGAAATATACCCACAGAAATATAATCAACTGATTTTTGACAAAGACGCGAAGGCAATTAAAGAAGCAATGCTCGTCTTTTCAACCAATCCTGTGGGAACAAGTGGATGACCATATGTAAAAAAAAAAAAACAAAAACAAAAAGAGGACTTCAATACATATCTCACATCTTATGTAAAAATTCACTCAGTTATCAAGGTTAATATCAACAGTACTTAGTCATGCTGATATCATTCGCACCTGGTATGATGTGAGAAGGGCCATTACCTATGTGATATTCTCTCTCCAAATCCATAACATCATCTGTTCACGAGGAAACAGACAGACTGAAATTGAGGCATATTTTACAAAATAGCTCACTAGGGATATTATATATTGGCTTTTCAATGATTCTGTTAAGTCTAAAACTATTTCACAATTAAAAGTTTTGAAAAAGAGAAACTGACATGAATTTACATATTCTTTTTCCCTTGGAGGGGAAGCTTGAGGCAGACTGAACCCAAAGGAGCAGCAGGTAAGCCAATCCAACTAACATTTGAAGGATTTATATCTGATACCATTAACTACCAAACTTTTCTTAAACTTAGCTGATGTATATGAGGCCGTTTCATTTTCTGTGCACAAGAACTTTGGTGGAAGAACTGGAACTTCTGAAGGGAACATGATGGCTGTTAGTTAACCCCTGTCCTCCGACTTAACGACTTCAGCACTTAATTTCCACAGTATTTTCCACTCCCCGTATTGCAGCCTTGGGACTGATTCTCCAGGTTTGTGCCTCTTGACTTCACCTCTGCGTTTTATTTCCCCAGATTTATGAGTTTGTGTGACATTTACCTGGATCTACCCTTCCGTCAAAGCGGCCATAATGATCTGGTTTCACAAAGGTAAGGTTGATCTGTGTTACATTCTAAATCACAGAAAAGTGAGAGAAAAGAGAAACACACACTGTGAAAGGATGGGGTGTAATGGACCCTGTTCCCAGTCATATCCCGTTCTTGGGAACTACAGCTGATGAAGAGAGACCCTCACTAGCCATGTATTGAATATTTACACCAGTCCTCACCTAGGACACCCAGAGTCTCTCTGCTAGGAATTTGACATTTTGAACTAAAAGATACAGAAGTATAAGACTAGGAGAAAGTGTAGGAACTTCTGCCATCAAGGAGCCCAGCGTTATCTTAATTCTACTGTTTCTGAGGCTTGGATACAACCTGTATTATTACCTGTAGCTGTTCTGGCAAATTACCACAAACTGGGTGGTTTAAAAGAACAGATATTAACTCTCTCGTAGTCCTGGAGGGCAGGTCCAAAATCAAGATATCAGTAGGGCTGCACTCCCTACAGAGGCTCTACGGGAGAATCTATCTGTTCCTTTCTTCCCTAGCTTATGGCTTATTGGCTTGTAACCACATCACTCCCATCTGTGCCTCTGTCTGCACATCATCTTCTCTTCTGTCTTTCCCCTCTATGTGTCTCTTATAAACACACTTGCCACTGGATTTAGGGCCCACCTGGATAATCCAGGATGATTTTATCGTCTCAAGATTCTTAATTACACACGCGAAGAAAGATCCTTTTTCTAAATTAAGTAACGTTCACAGGTTCTGGAGATTATGACATAAACATATTTTGGGCAGGGGCACCACTCAACCAAATACACATGCTTCCAATTAACTTTTTCTTAAGTAGTGCCAGTTTCTATTACTTGAAACCCAAAGAACTTAGGTAGTTTGGTCTCTTGATGCTAGTGGCAGTAATTATAAGTTGTTTGTGCCATCTCTATACTAAGCTTGACTTCAGAAGTTCTCCAACTTTAGTGTAGTAAAAATTACTTTGGAACTTGTTAAAAATGCAGGTTTCTGCCCTCCTTTCCAGAGTTTCTCAATAAATTGGTCCAGAAATCTTCATTTTTAAGAATTCCCAGATGGTCCTGATGATAAAAGAAAGGGAAAATTGTGAAAGCTCAGACCCATTCATGTCCCATTCACATAAAAGCAAGAGGAAAAGCGATGAAAAATAATTTGAAAACTTTAATGATGTTGTTTATATAGTAAAAACATAAAATCTTTTAAATAAGGTACATTCAGTTTCTCAGAGCATCTAATATTCAGATAATTTATATTTCATATACTTTCCAACATTAAACAATTGACTAAATAATGCATTTTCTATAAAATGATAATTCAGTTTACACAGGTAAAGGTATATTACAAAAATACTCTACACAGGAAGAATGGCAGTACCTATTAGGAAATGTTACAAATATTCTGTTAAAAAATATATTTTATCTCTTTCATTTGTCATAATAATAAACAGAATATATATTTTTTTCTTTCTAAAATTAAGTCTTACACAGTTTCCCTTCAGGATGGTAATATGTACAAACCTTATATCTGAATGGATATAAATAGCAAATACTATAATAGTGTTACAGATATATTAGTAACTTTTACAGAAAAAAATGGCTTTCTAATAAAAGCCTCTAGTACAGCTGAATTCTCAACGCTATTTAAGTTAGACATTCCCATGTTTAGTAAGGCACAATGGAGTCTAGTTTCTTATTTCCAGTTGAATTACTGCAAGCAGTAACAAGGAAAAATATAGTCAGTAGATATTGGACCAAATCTGTTAGTTGGATAAATTATTTGGGATTGATTAAACTTTGGGGGGAGATGTGAGTTCTTTCTCCACACCATAGTTTCTTTTCAGACCCTGTGGCCAAATCTAGTCCTTGGTGATGAGAAAGAAATCATTGTACCCTCCTCAAGCGCCTGAGAAACAGTTTACTCATTTATTGGATCTGGTCCATGGTGAGGAAACAGCTCAATGACCATTTCCGGTTATAAGCAGCTTATCTTTAATGATTGGACCTGGTTCCCTATCATTTCTAAAAATAGCTTCTGATATAATCTGTACATGGTGAAGCTGTGAAGGAACCTGATGGTCTTCTTCAGACTCTGAGTGACAGTTTTGGGGAAGTGGTATGTCTTCAAGTGCTTTAGGGCATGCATCAGGCCCTTGCGGGTGTCTTGGTCATCATTTTTTATTCGCCAGAGGCTGAGAAGCTTCAGGATTTGATCACTTGATTTGCACGTCTTCATTGTTTTCTCAATGTCTTCTGTCATCACTTTCTTCCCCGGCAAGCTTTCCATCAGCCTTAGAAGCTGCTCGAAGGTGAGGTTCATGTGCCCAATGTGCCTCTGCACGCTCTTTTCACAGAGTTCGATATCTGCATAAAGCAAAAGCCCAGAGACATTCACGTAATCCACCCAAAGCCACCGTAAAACTTCCCTGAGGCAAAAGGAGGTTCCCCAGAATTTCATAACTTTAAGGATAACCTCCTCCTTTCCTTTTGGGAGGGCTTAAGTAATGCTAGTTATTTCTGAGAATTGAGTTAAATATTATTTTGTGTTACACTAGGATAATACGCTTCCTATATTCTAGGCATCCAACACAGCTTTGTGAAAAGCCCAAATTTGGAAAATAACAGTGGGAAACTACAGACACACCGTTTTCTAAGAAAATTTGGAGAAATTAAAAGTGTAACCTTTTAGGAAAAACACAAAGTTAGCTATTTTATAATACAAACTTTCATTAACTGATACCCAATATATGTGCTATTTGAAGAATTAGGTCCTTCAAACGGTCTTTAATAAATAGCACCAGGAGATCGTCAGCACAAAGGAGGAGCCGTGAAAACCCAATAATATGAGGCCAAAGAACAGTAGGATACACATGGCCTGGAGAATATTTCAGTAATGAGCTAGGACATAAACATAAGAGGCAATAAATAACGTTTCTATTGATGACATGAGTCATTTATTATCTGTGGGCCCGAAGGCAAGTCTGTTCATCTTTCTGGGCTGAAATGTCCTCATTTATAAAATAGGAAATTGGGTCCCTTCCAATTCTAACCGTCTCTGATTCTCTCCTTCCCTCTCTTTTTGCTTCAGGGCTAATTATAATTTCAAAGAATACATTTTGTTTGCCAAAAACAGAAGACAAGTTTACTCTTTGCACAAGTGAAACCATTCAACTATTAAAGCTGTTAGTCGCCTAAAATCTGTTGCCTCAGTTTCAGATGTTTGAGGCTTTAAGGTTGTGTAGGACTCCTCAGTCATTTAACTACATGTGAAGAGCAGAATGGATTTCTCCTTGACACTGTCTGCATTATGAAAACGCTCCCTCATTTTTTCTGCCATGTCCTCCCAATGCTAATTAAAGTCAGAACTTTTTCTACTGTGTATCCTAAAGCTTAGAGTCCACACTGGATGAAACTTACTTCCTTTTCCCCTCCGATTCTCTCCCATCATAACACACACACACACACACACAGAGTTTCTAAAGGAGATTCTCCAAGAAACTCGAACACTTTACAGACCTTATCTCATTAATCCTCACAACACATGCTATTAAAATGGTAATCTTAAAATAGGCTGTGTTCAGATGCAGAGAACAAACGTATGGACACCAAGGGGGGAAAGTGGCAGGTGGTGGTGGTGGGATGAATTGGGAGATTGGGATTGACATGTATACACTAATATGTATAAAATAGATCAATAAGTAAATAAATTTTTAAAAATAAAAGTAAAATAAAATAGGCTGTGTTGTGAGGATTAATGAGAGGATACCTGTAAGACACTTAGAGGCTCTCTGGAGAGAATTACCACATAAATCCAACATAGTTTCCTGGTAGAAATGCAAAGTAAGATCTAAAGTGGTTAAAGAACTTCTAGATAGGCCAGAAGGGATGCTCCTAAAACTGCTAAGGGGATCCAGAGTCAGATTTCCTGAGGTCTAGTCCCACATTTGAAATGTATTATCTCTCCCTTTAGAGAGACACTTGAAAAAGAAATTGGGGAGTAGAGGAGGTGAGAACAAAACCTCACGTGACTGCTCTAGGAATAGCATATCCACTATCACTTGATGAATACGTTTTCAGTCCAACAGTAATTCCCAAGGGGAAACATCATCCACACAACTAAACAGGTACATAGTCCTGTTTCTGTTGTAGGACCGACAGGTGTTCTGATTTCTGATCGAGTTGTTTATTTCAGGTTCCCATACCTTGGATGATCTTCTTGACCATATCTTGGTCTTTGTTTTGATGCTTCCATAACTTCAGCAGCTGGAAAGTCTGTTCTCGTGAGCTGTGTCGTCGTTTTATCCGATCTATGCTCTCTGTGTTCACTTTGGTGCCAGGCAAATTGTCTACCAGGACACTGAGCCAGTTCGGGGTAAGCTTTGTAGGAACAGCAAACCTAAAGAATGCCTCCTCACACAGGGTCATGTCTAAAGGAAGGTGGGAAAACCAAGAAGATTTACTCAATAATTGGATTCTTGGACGTCTAAGGGACAAAAATAATAATAATAATAGTAATAATAAAAACCAACACAGTTGAGTTTTCCAGGATATTGCATGCTAAAATGAGAAGTTTGAATAAAATCAATCTTCTGTTGCCTGGTCTTAGTGGCAGATCACCAATCCAACTGGGTTCATGTCCTTTCTAATGTTCTTTTAGAGCATTTTGTGGGGGAGGGTTTAACAAACGTCTAATAAGAATGTATTACTGCTATAAATAACTTACAGCAAAAATTCTATATATATAGCATAATGTGTATATATATGTTAATATATACATGAACATATTTTAATGTAACTGTGAAATATTTTGTTAAAGCTTTAGCTGGTGTCTACAGGTTACTTCAAGATCAATGTCAAATCACTGTCTTTAAGGGAGCTTGAAAAGTAATCTGAAATAGTGTATTATTTTCTGCACACACACAGACACATAGTTTACCTTTGGGAACAAGGATGGATACAGATGTATAAGCGTACATTAAGTGGGAAAATAATCAAACACAAAAACATGTCATTTAGAAAAGAAGTGCAATGGCCTGAGTGTCTGGGTAGGGTTGGTATATCCCAGGGATTAATAGTTTGTTTTTGGATTCATTAGGTCTGGGTTTGAATCCTGACTCTGCCATTCAAGTTCATACATTAGAACAAACTTTACAGTATTTTTATAAAGATTAAAGCCCATATAGCAAAAGTGTCTGGCATATAGTAAGTGCTCAAAGAATGATAGAAATAAAAGTATAAATGAATTAAAGAGAATGTTAGAGGTCACTCTTCTATCCCTTCCCTCGTTCCATTATTTAATAAGAAAGCAGAAAAGCTGAATGACTTATCTAAGATTTTTACAACACAGTGAAAGAATGTTGGGACTGGGTTTGAATCTTCAATCTCCCAACCCACATTCCTATGTTTTATATACTTCTATGTCGCACAAAAAGATGTTTGGGGAGAGTCAAGCTGATTAAATGCTAAAAGGTCGATCCTTCTTGGTGTGATGAGTCCTTGGTAGAAGGTCTGAGGTTAGTGTGGTGGTAGGAGTGACAAGGTGAGGACAGCAACCTGATTAGTACCATCACCAACATGAGGTACATTCAGGTAACTTGAGCTTGGAGCTACTGACCTTTCCTGAATAAAGAGTTTAAGACAAAGTACAGGAATTTAGAACTTCCATGCAACAGATGCAGTAATACCATAGGTAACAAAGCCAGTATTGCATTTCTAATTTGTCATCTATGTATGTCACTATGCTTCTTTGTTGCCAATTTATACTTTGGCTAATAATACAGATATTCTTAAAAGTGATAAAAATGCATAGCTTAAAAAATTCTGCAATTTGGACTCTGATCATCGAACCTTAAACAAAATCTTTACACCACCCCGTTCTCCGTGGGTAACATTTGACTCAAGTGTGAAAGTCAGGGTTTGGAGCATGATTGTGAGAAGATGGGGACTTTTTGAAAGATTTTGAGTTGTGGCTTTAGCGATGATGCACAGGGAATAGTCTTGGTTAAAATTCAAGAAAGGGAAAATACAAGTTTGACTAAGAAGGGCTGGAGGGTCTTGTATTCAACTCAGAGGTGGTACAAAGACTGATATTTTGAAACATAATTACCTATTCCACACTTGTGAGTCGGTTCACCGTTTCCAGAACATACATTGTCATGCGTTGCATTTCCTTTGTGAGTTAGAAGGAGCCCAAGTGCACTGCAGTTTGTGTGCTTTCTACAGGGTGCTTTAGATGACGTCTCATTGGAGAAGAACCCATCTGGACAACTTTCGCAAACTGTATTTCGCTCCGGGGTTCCTACAGAAAATACCAAGCCATTTAGCACATTCTTCTCAAATACTTTCGCAGCAGATACCATCTTTTTTTTTTTTTTTACATCTTTATTGGAGTATAATTGCTTTACAGTGGTGTGTTAGTTTCTGCTTTATAACAAAGTGAATCAGTTATACATATGCATATGTTCCCATATCTCTTCCCTCTTGCGGCTCCCTCCCTCCCACCCTCCCTATCCCACCCCTTCAGGGGGTCACAAAGCACCGAGCTGATCTCCCTGTGCTATGCGGCTGCTTCTCACTAGCTATCTACCTTACGCTTGGTAGTGTATACATGTCCATGCCTCTCTCTCCCTTTGTCACAGCTTACCCTTCCCCCTCCCCATATCCTCAAGTCCATTCTCTAGTAGGTCTGTGTCTTTATTCCTGTCTTACCCCTAGGTTCTTCATGACATTTTTTTTTCTTAAATTCCATATGTTTGGATAAGCCTTTTCACTTGGTTTTTACTGCTACTATTATATTGCACAAAACTTGAGGCATTTTCATTTTTCACTTCATTAGACAGAACAAAACTTCTAGAGTTAGCCCCTTAGGCAGTCTCCCCTACTTGTAATAAAAACACAAATGTGTTTTGTTGTTACCTAGAAGCACAAAATTGGGGAGGAAAGAAAAGAAGGGTATGATGTTCAATTAGTCCTGCCTGTGCAAAACTGTCAGTAAGATCTTTTTGTCAACCATAATCTCCACACGATTATTCCTGGGAAATCATGAAGGTAACTGCTGTGTAACTGCTGTAATATCATTCTTTGAAATCAGTACCCATGGAATGCTGCATCGTTAAATTCCAATCAGTTCCTACTGAAGTTCCTTCTTTCCTGAATCCTAATCGTGAAGCAACTCATAAGTATGCTAACCTTGAGAAGTAAAAATTTACAACATTATAATAAACTTTTGAAGGTGGCAGTAAAGTTGACCATAGACTCAAAAGCGTAAGCCTACAATTACATAGTAAATGGAAGATGATATAGCATTTGCTTAAACTGTTGAGTCTGAAAAGAGCACAGTCGTTAAAATTCAGGGAAGGGTGACTGTAAGGGCATTTTATTTCTTGGTGGAGAGATACTTGATAAATTTGGGTAAATCATTGGCAGGAAAACTTGAACCAGTCAACAACTAAAGATGCTATTAAAAATAAATATCTTCAAGCCCTTGACTCTATGCCTGGGTAGATCATACATTACAGTGTACTTGCATATGAAAATACCTCCATCTAGTGTAAGCTAGTTGAACAGATTTAGACTTTAATATTCAAATGTAGCTTTTACAGGCCAATTCTGGCTGACGCAAGATACCAAATACTAAAGGGACAAAGGAAAGCTACAGAAAGTTAATAAATTTCATTTATTAAAATTTTCAACCTCCCATCTCATTGTATCCTTTTCCAAAACCAGAAAAAAAGAGTACAATGGATCGGTTTTAGTTTCAACTCTGGCTTCTTTCTTTTCTAAAGGGATTGATGACGCATTGGCCAATAAAAATGACAGACGGTTGGCAGAAAAGAAAGAGAAGGGGGAACCGTGCATGAAACCTTCACATGTTAAATGCCATTTGCAGGGTTGCAGTGACATCATCTTAGGAACCACTTTACAAAGAGGTCTATTTTTTTAAGTACTTTCTTGCTACACTCCTCTCCTTAAATGGGATCCAACTTGATACCAAAGTATCCAATATCGTAAGCAGAGGTATTTGGACAGAGATTCCATGGTATTATTTCATTGCTACTATTCTGGGGATAAATGGTCTTGGACATCTGGATCCAAGTCTCCCTTTGCCAACTGCACAAAGAAGAATCTTGTCATTCTTCACATACGTGTTGATGGCTTGGGTGTTCTCATGTGTCCTAATGAGAAAATCATAGGCACAAGACATTCTTTCAGGTAATTTAGCCTTTAAAGTTCTCTACCAAGAGGAATCCAAGAATTATAGAAGAAAGTTTTTTTAATGTATTTGGAGGCTTTATGTAATGACCTTTCTGAGAACGACTCGCCTCTTTTATGACTGATAGAACTTCTTATAAAAAGATGTATCCATCTAAGTAAATGATTTTGCCTTATTAATATCAACAGAAACATACAAAGTACAATCTGGCAGGCAAAATGTGAAATAGAATGGCAAGAGGAGTTGTGCTTTTCAGTGGAGAATTCACCATGCCATAAGCAATTACATAAGAATTACAGGACTAACAGGATGAAGTACAGTTGATCCTTGAACAGTGGTGGGTTAGGGGCACCAACAGGCTGCACAGTCGAAAATCCCATTATAACTTTATAGTCAGCCCTCTGTAGCGGGGTTCTGCATTCACAGATTCAAGCAACTGTGATCATGTCGTACTGTAGTATTTACTATTGAAAAAAAATGTGCATACAAGTGGACCTGCGTAGTTCAAACCCATGTTTTCAAGGATCAGTGTAAAATATGGAGAGGAGAAGACAATCTGGCTTCAAAACAACAACCACGGGCTTCCCTGGTGGCGCAGTGGTTGGGAGTCCGCCTGCCGATGCGACACGGGTTCGTGCCCCAGTCCGGGAAGATCCCACATGCCACGGAGCGGCTGGGTCCGTGAGCCGTGGCCGCTGAGCCTGCGGGTCCGGAGCCTGTGCTCCGCAACGGGAGAGGCCACAACAGTGAGAGGCCCGTGTACCGCAAGAAAAAAAAAAAAAAAAAAAAAAAAAAAAACGAAGAATGATTATTAAATACTTTTTAGAATAATACTACAGAATCTTGTCTTTGGACTGGAAACCTCGAATCTTCCATGAGGAACTCCTTTGTAGGTTTCTAGGGAGGGAGCAATAAGTAAATGAATAAACGTGTACCTTTGTACTAAGTCTTCTGGCTGCCTGCTTACTTCGTTCTACAAACAAATTTTCATGCTTATGTGAGAAAAATCCTTACTACTTCCATTATTTTTCAAAACTTTCTAGTTTCCAAGCTGCATAGCCCCTGCTTAATTAATTTCCCTACATATATAAATTACTGAATTGAATTCAATGGATCTGTTTCTGTTGGATGGGCTTCCCCCTCTACATCTTGGCTTAGCTTTTGAGTCCCAAAGTATCATCCAATAAAAGCTAAGAAGTGTCACCAATTTCTTCCTCAGATACTCATACTAGAGGCATTTTAAGGAACTGTCATGCAATTTGCACCTTCTGTGATTAATTTTATAAAATTCACAACTTAGGCAACTTAGTAGTTCAATTTTTTTTTTTTTTGTGGTACACGGGCCTCTCGCTGTTGTGGCCTCTCCCATTGTGGAGCACAGGCTCCGGACGCGCAGGCTCAGCGGCCACGGCTCACGGGCCTAGCCGCTCCGCAGCATGTGGGATCTTCCCAGACCAGGGCACGAACCCGTGTCCCCTGCATCGGCAGACGGGCCCTCAACCACTGCGCCACCAGGGAAGCCCAGTAGTTCAATTTTTGAATATGTTCCCTTTGTAGGCCTTTAAACCTAAAATGTTTATAATCATTTAGAATCTATATTACAACTTCTTAAAGTCAAAATAGTTACAAATAATTAGCATCCTCAAAACCAATGACTGTCAACCAGGGGTGATTTTGCCATCCAGGGGACATTTGGCAATGTCTGGGACATTTTTGGTTGTCACAACTGGGGGAAGAGTGCTATTAGCATCTAGTGGCTAAAGACCAGGGATACTGCTAAACATTCTACAATGTACCAGACAGCTGCCCACAAAAAGAATTATCCAGCCCCCAAACGTTAGTAGAGCTGAGGTTGAGAAACACTGCTTCAGACTGTGTCATTGGAATCTATACCGATTACTGCTTCCTCCAGAAAAGTAGGTGAATACTCTTAATTTTCCCAGGCCAGGAGAGCATGCAGACTATACCGAAGCTTCGTGAATGTAGCAAAAAAACAAAAAAAAGTGGGTTACAACTTTAGAAAGTTCAGTGCACACTGGCCTTAACCTATGCTATTCAAAATGCAAAAAGAGAAAGTACTTTGTTTGTAGACAAGTACTTACTCTTGGCTTGACAGTCTGCTTTGTCTAAGGTAAAGGATAAGCTCATTGAAGAGATGCTGCTACCATCTTTATCCTCCCAGACACTCAACTGCCATGCCAAAGAAAGAACTAGCTTCATTTTTAATAATGAACTGCATTTCCCCTAGCCATTCTCATTTCTTACATAATTAATTATAACTACTCATTGTTAGCACGCCAGAGCCTCATTAATATCAGCATAATTACTCTCTTGGTATCAGTTAACATTTTTAATGTTTGTCAGGAAGCACTGCAGTTTGAAGCTCTCCATGCTGAAGTGAAACACAGAGGCATAGCTCAGCTATAAACAGTGCAACTCGGAGTGTGTCCCTTTAAGAAAGAGCAGTCAATCATGCATCTCATTAGGGAGTGATTTGCTGCATTTGAGATTTGTAACTAAATTGCCCCTTAGTGGCAAAGTGCTCCTCTGAGGAATGGTTCTTTGGCAGCCACCCAGACACATAGTACATACCTAGCATGTCCCATTACCTTTGCAATTTGCTGTCCTGTAATGTCACCAGGACAAACATGTTCCCTTAACCTTTCCCTACTGCCTGACTTTGTGTGATGCTAATGAATTCGGCCGCATGTTGGAAGCGGATGCATACCAGCGTGTAGCACTCCAAATCCAGAGGGACAGCTCTTATGTTTCAAGCAGAACTCCAGCTCCAGGTAGCGCCCCTCCTCGCATTGGCACACGCGGTTATGGGTGCGATTGCACTCCTGCTTGACGTACTGCAGTTCCTTGCACACTGGGCTGCAGTACAGACACTCGTCGCTGGTGTGCCAGCTGTCTGTGTAGTAGTGGTCAGGACAAGGGGCACACAGGGTCTTCCGCCTCGCTGTGCAGTGCTGTTTTAGGGAGGTGCCAGGAGGACATTTATCACACATCAGCTGACGAGAGGTTTCAGGGTCATAATGAAGGTACTTTGGAGGAAAGGTTTCCTGGGTGGTCCATTTAATGGAGATGTCCAGGAACTAGAAGAAGAAAGGGAAATCGTGGCATGTTAGCATGGAAATGGGGTGGTTCTTCTGTGCAAAAGCATCATTAACCTCAAAGAGTCCTTTAATACCTGAAGCCTCATGCCCTTCCTGCCTACTGAGCTACAACCACAGAAAGTGAGTTCAGAAGCCATAATTCTTGCCTCTAAGTAGCTTAATCTCAAAGACCAAGATGGCAATAGCAGCAAAACATATTAAGTAAATCTAGCTCATAGATGGCTGGAGTGGAAAGCTCATCAGAATAGAAATGATTACGCTTAGATGCACCGCTAAATAACCCATGTGCCCTGAGTGACACTTTACCTGGGCTTCAGGATTATCACTAGATTAGTGAGTTGGGTGAACTAGTGGTTCTCAGAACAGCTATACCAGAATCACCTAGACACCTTGATAACATGTAGATTCCTGAGATTTATATCCCTAAACATTCTGATTCCACAGATGTGAAGTTGGGGCTGGGGATTGAAAAATCTACTGCTGTGATTCCCATGTGTGGAGCCCATACTCAATAAATATAATTTATTCACTTGACGATAGTTGTGTCCCAGGCTCTGTTCTGGGCAATTGGGATACAGTAGTGAATAAAATAGTCAATAAACTCTGTCTATGGAGTTTACCATCCAACTGGGGGAGTAAGAAAATAAATAACAAATTACACATAAATTATACAATAGAAAATAAGTGTTGTAAAAAATGATCAAGTAAAAAAATTGGAAATATGGAGGGGAAGGTAGAGAGATAACAAACTTTAAATGGGGTGGTCACAGTAGCATATTTAGGACGAGATGATATTTTTCTTTTAGTTTTCCCATTCTAAGATGTACTGATTCCAAACATATGGTAAAGTTAACAGTTGGTGATTACAGTCATTCTGATCATTCATTCACTCATGCAACAGATATGTACTGCATGCCTACCAGAAATATACCAGAAATATGCTGGTGAGTAAGATATGATCTTGGGACTTCCCTGGAGGCGCAGTGATTAAGAATCCGCCTACCAAAGAAGGGGACATGGGTTCGATCCCTGGTCCAGGAAGATCCCACGTGCCACAGAGAAATTAAGCCCGTGCGTCACAACTACTGAGCCTGCGCTCTAGAGCCCGTGAGCCACAACTACTGAGCCCACGCGCCCCAACTACTGAAGCCCGCGGGCCTAGAGCCCGTGCTCCACAACAAGAGAAGCCACTGTGATGAGAAGCCCGCACACCGCAACGAAGATCCAATGCAGCCAAAAAGAAAAAAAAAATGATAAAAGATATGATCTTTGTCTCTGTGCAGCTGGTAATCTACTGGAAGATTCCTAGAATTTTAAGACATATTTCCTCCATAACATCATATGGTGCAGTCTTGAATCTCATAGGTGAATGATGTCTAGAAAATTAAATGACCACCTCTCTTAAGGTTAATTGGGAATAACTTCAGGGAGCAGGCAGGGTTTCAGAAGTTTCCGTCCATAATGGCCGAAGAGCTGTGTGCGTAGGAGAAAGAAGATTTTGCAGGCAAGAGTACTGCTTGGGAAGGCAGCGCCACATGGGCATTCTGTCTTGTAGTCTAGATCTCAGAAGGTCTTCAAGGGAACACTGAAGTAGTTCTTCACACTAATTAGAAGAAAAAGTGTTGTTTGTGCGTAGGGGTGGTTTGTTTGGGTTTTATTGTTTGTTTCTGGTACAGGGATCAACACCGACTGTTCTCAGGCTTTGGGAAGGTGGCAGGCCGAACAATAATTTTTTCCAAACTCTCTTCTTTGCAGAACTCAGGAAATCTCACAGAAACCCATTGACCTGGAAAAAGTGTGCCAAGCTAGGGAAACAGGACTCCCTTTTGAAAGAGGAATAACAAAGGTAAAGAAAGGCCTTTTTCATACGCATTTGGGCATTTTAATAAGTAATTCTATTCACTTCTTATTGGGACATGACAAGGGTCAGGGATGTCTGGACCTAATATGAGCTGATAAACCAGATTGAAAGAATAAAAGATCTCACCTAGGGCCATGGACTTTTTAACTGAGAGCAATTTTCAGAGTGCTGTGATGTAAGGGACTCCTAACCAACAATAAGTAGAATACAGTGCAAAACCAGGGCTGCTTCGGTGGTATTTTCAGGACGCTCTCATGACCCGAGGGTTTTGGGGAAAAGTATGTTCTTGAATTTCCCTGGGGTTTTCTATTGGCTCAGATAAACTGGGTCAACATTAGGAGAAAGAAGTGGACCAGTAACGAGTGAAAGCTCTGTGGTTTGGTCTGGATTTGTCAGAAATAGATGGAATCTGTTCATTCAACACATATCTATTGAACATCTACCGTGTACCAGGCATTGTAGAAGATCTTAGCATATGGTGGCACACGAAACAAAGATGCTCTTCAAACTGCCCACAGTCTAGTGAGGAGGCAGAGAACATAGAAGGAAAGAATAAATAACTACAAATAACGATCAATGTTTGGAAGGAAATGAAGCAAGATGAACTGACTTTGTTGCTTCTTGGTCATTCGAATCATATTGTGCTATATTTTTCAAGGCCCCTGTGTGGGCTGGGCTCAAATATTTCTAAAATATTCAACGCTAGGAAATGAAGTTTTCCTGATGCAACTCACAAAGCCACAGGAAAGCAATGAAAAATGCTTTTTTTCTCTTGATGTTCACTTTCAATTTCCTGAAAAGCCACTTTTGAGGGTTCTCTTCTTTCAAGAAGCTCGGCTCAGAGGTCCACAGGGATATGCCTTTGTCTTGCTTGCTGCTGCTGAGTGAGCCCCATCCTGGTCGGGCTAGCAGTCCTGAGACTTCCCCCCACCTGACTTCCCATCACGCCCCCTTCCTCACACCAACATGGCTCATTTACTCATCAGCGGACCCTTTTCTCTCTTACCAAGAAGCGACAAGGATGAGATGGGAAAACCCCACAGATGGTGCTCACTACAAGCAGCCCCACAAATACAAGACCTGACCAAGAATACTGATGCAATTTGTATTTTTCTAGGCAATTGGACATGACATTGTTGGTTTCCTGAAACCATGCTTAGGAAATGAGTTGCCATCTCTTCAAAATACAGGGAAGCTTAGGTGAAACGAATCCACAGAGAAAAAATAAATAAATCAGGTTGACTTAAGGATTAGAGAGCAGTTATAATGGTGAAGGTCATTTCTCCTCGGCTACCGCATGGAATGATCGTATATATTTTTTTAAAAATCGGAAAGCCGTTAGGAACTGCAGACTTGTTTTCAGCAAGTTCCATTGGGCCTCTGTGTTTTATTTGAAAATTTTCCACTTTGGTAAAATGACAGAACTCTGTGTGGCCCATATTGGATACTGAGTCTCCCTATCTGGTTAGCCCCAATTCCTGCACCGAATTTCTGGAACCAGTTACTGGACAGAGGATGGGCAAAGTTAATAAAGCTCTTCATCTCAGTCCTCTCTCTCACTTTCTTCTGCCTTTCCTAGAAAAGCAATGAGGAAGAAGCCAAAGGAGGACAGACCATCTTAACACTGGCTCTATCTCCTTTGCCAGCTGATAATATTTAAAGTCTAAGAAGAGTTCAAAAATAAATGTTTCTGTGCAGTGCATAACATAACCACTGATGAATATCTACAAAGGCTGGGACACGTACATAGGTGTCTATGCAGAAGCATAAAGTGCTGTCTGTAAAAGAGGCCAGTCTGCTTTGGGTTATGCTTGGTTTTTAAAGAAAAATTAAATGGAATTTTCTCTCCATTTTTTCTTTCTTCCTCTCCCCATTCCCTACCCATCCATCCTCTGGTGTAGACCCCTAATCCTTGAAGGGAATCCAGAAGTCCTCTAACCTAGTGCCTCCCACCAGTCCAGGAATCTTTCCTGAAGCCCCCCATGTCTCTTTTCTTGAAAGGACAGTTCAGGCTCCATCTATAGTAGCTTTGTCCCTCTCCTCACCTTCCATTTTTCTTTCATGTTGGACTGTGTTAAAGAATGTTCTCTTTCAAACCCAACCATCTTTCCTCATCTGTCAAATATTAGCAGGTGATGGTAGTGGGTGAAGGTGATGGGTGGGCTGAATTAGTTGTTCTCTGAAGCATTTTCTGGCTCTACCATTTTTCTCTCTGTCACTGTAATATTGACAGAGTTTAAGTAGCCAATGAACTTGGAAACAAATGTTTTGCTCTAATCCCCCTCCTACTTCTTGTTCCACTCTTTTATTTGTAAAACCCCTTTTTACAATACTTTGCTCTACTGTGCTTTGATTTATTGTGCTTCACAGCACAATATATGTGTTTTTTACAACTGAACATTTGTGGCAACCCTGTGTTGAGCATCCATTGGTGTCATTTTTCCAGCAGCACTTGCTCACTTTGTGTCTCTGTGTCACATTTTGGTAATGCTTGCAATGTTTCAAACTTTTTCATTATCATTCTATTTGCTGTGGTAACGTGTGATCAGTGATCTTTTTCTTTTTCCCCTGGCCGTGCCACATGGCATGTGAGATTGTAGTTCCCCAACCAGGGATGGAACTCGTGCCCCTGCAGTGCAAGCACAGAGTCTTAACCACTGGACTGCCAGGGACTTCCCTGTGATCAGTGATCTTTAATGTTATTATTGCAAAAAGATTATGACCTACTGAAGGCTCAGATGACAGCATTTTTTGACAATAAAGTACTTTTTAATTAGGGTATATACATTGTTTTGTAGACATAATGCCATTGCACACTTAATAGGCTACAGTATAGTGTAAACATAACTTTTATATGCACTGGGAAACCAAAAGATTCATGTGATGTGCTTTATTGTGATGTTCCTTTGATTGTGGTGGTCTGGAATCGAATCCACGATATCTCCAAGCTATGCCTATACTGCAGAACTCTCTTATCAACCTCCAGTTTTCAGATTCACCCATGCCTTCCATTCCCTCTGTAAAACCAAGGGCTGCCCCAGCTCGCCGGATTCTTAGCCATGCCTTCTCCTTGAGCATTCCAACTCCCATTTGCTCTCTTAAAAAAGTCAGTGGTATG